AGCCTTATCCTACTTAATCCACAGTTATGGTTTTTGGGTTTACCTAATGTGCTGCCCCACCACATCAAACAATAAAACTGGTCAGAGCCCTCTTACAGTGTACACAGGTGGTGCCTGTAACCACCCATAAACAAACATACGTGGATTATTGTCATTATAGCATTAAGTAGACTGAGTTTCCAGAAGCAGACTTGGGATTTTTTGTTTGTGACAAATTGTTTGGCCAGCCACAAAAATTACGTTTAAATCCTGTTTAGACTGAATGACATTACTCTGATTAAACTAACACACAAAAGAACAGAAATGGTCACATCAGACCAGTGCTTGGCAAAACAAAATAGGTTGTAAATAACTATACCTTAATGCTCTTGAATTAATCATTCTTAATTAACAATTCGTTCTTTATGAGTTGAGTCTTAGTTTGTGCTTTATTAAGAGAAGTGTAGTTACTGTAAGTGTTAACAAAAATGGTACATATGCAGACAGGTTAAACGACCATTGTTGTGACTTTGCTGTGGTCATCTGAAACTATACCAACCAACCAAACATGTTGAGATCGAAGTGGTAAGTGGTTCATTCAAGATACTAAATGCAGACAGAATCTCATAACAAGCTAAATAGAGTAAAACTAACTAGAGTTTGAAAAAGAAATAAACATGGACAACTTTCTCCAAAACAATGTCTGCAGAGATGAGATCATTCTTATTGAGAGCTTTTCTGGGAATAGATCTGTTGTTTTGTTGTTGCCACCATAGATATACACGGCCATACACCTCCCATAGTTTTAAGTGTCACTGACTTTCACAAAATAATTATAATCTTTTCTATTCTATGCTGCTTTACAGTAGCTATGAATACATTATAAAGGTCAGGCATTTTTAAAAGATTTACCACGTAACTTTTTTGGTGGAGGGTACATGACCTGAAAGTCTCCTTGGAGATTGCTTTATCTAGAATATTCCACAGTATGGCATTAAACCCACATACAGGTGGCACTACAAGACCAAGATGCATGTGAAATCTGTGGAGAAGTGGCCCTGCTCACAGGGTTTTACATTTTCATCTTGTATATTTTTAACAATAAAATGCTAGATAGATTTAATACCATGTAGTAGTACATTCAAGGTAAAGCAGTAACATATCCATAGAAACAGGTATGGCATACAGTACTCACCACAAAAAAAGCACTGCACCTTTAAAAACTGTAGACGTTCTAGATAAATTCCTATAAGGTTCACTGAAATATTCCACAATCAAATCATTGGCATATTTCATACATGATGTTTATGAAACCATAAACATCAAAAATATTTCTATTTTGTTTCACACTTATTATGAACCTTGACTGAAATATACTGTACTTAGTACTTAGCTCCACATGTGTGATTACCACACACAGCCCACTGCACTAAACTGTGTCACATGATTAGCTCAGAGTGTGCAGTTTAATGACTTCCTGTATTAAAACTAAAGATGACATTTAACTAAATAACAAGGCTGCTCACATGGAACACGGGTCAGGTGAGGTGAGAGAACAAGGAGAAAGAGAAAAAAATACTGACTTTTGATTATAAAGTTAAGCTAAGTCAATAGAATAGGCATGGTCAGAATAGTAGGGAATAGTAATTCTCAATTCAAGTAAATATCAAAAGGTGAATACTGTACTATGCGCCTGCTTCACTGTTAATTTTCTAGATGCAACAGACACATTAGAATATTCAAATTAATTTTATAATGAATGGAAATGCATTTTGGTAATATTAGCAGTGTAGATTCTATAGGTTATAGTAAAAATTTTAAAGAAATACTAAAAATAATCATAAAATAATGTGTGCTATAGTTGGGAAAGACGATTTTGGGGTGTTGCTCTTTTTATTAGATATAGACAGAAAATATACTTACTTAGCTCCATGTCCATAAATCATTCAAATGAAAGACTTAACTCTGACTTTCATAAATCTTTTATGTCTAAAAAGTTTGAGTTTGGATGTGGCTGAATAATTGAACAAACCAAATATAGAAGTAGACACAGTGCCCAAAGTTCAGCAGAGTTTCCCTGAATTCTTACTATGACCTTTGACCCCAATGACTTGGTCAGACAATTGGATAGTCAGGTGACCAACACGGGGAGCAGTAGGTGCACGTGTATAAGGTCTTTAAGGTCATATATTCATTTTTATGTTTAGTTCATTTTAAATTAACTAAACATAGTTAAAAAACATGATTTTATTCACACATGTTTGAGAAATCTTTTACAATTAGTCTTCTACGTCACCAAAGCTCAGGTCATTAAGTGGTAGTTTTCAAGTTAACAGCTACCTTTTACCTTTAGTTCAGTAGAGATTGGCAATTCCAGGACTGAAATCATCAAAATGATTCTAGTGAATGTGTGTGTAGTTTAAATGCACAGCAGAGCACATCCTGTATTACCACATGACATCACAAGGTGGAACAAAGTGTTTTCCATCTGAGAGAAGAGCACAGCCTAAATATGCAGGGTTTGTGTGTTAAACACGTGTGAATGAAACAAAACACAACTCCAGGTATGTTTTTTTATGAGGAAACCAGATTATAACATAGATCAGTAAAAAAGTGTAATATGAGCCCTTTAATGCCACACTTCAGAACATTCCATGCACTGCAATAACATCTCCATGGACACAAACAGATACCTGACCCTCCATCAAAAAAAGTTTCAGAGCACCTTTGATGTCAGATTTATTTATACTTCTCATTTATGTAATCAGACAATGGCACAATTAGCTGTCTGTGTCCTTTATTTCTACATACAAATAAGGGTGAATTTGAACATATAAGTACATATAAGTCTAACTAGCTTCTATTGGGAAAAACAGGGACAAATGAAACATAAAGAACATAAAGCCTATGAAATGTCTTCTCTCTGTTTCACTGTACACAAACTCTATGTATACATGCTGTCTTTGGTTCTTGCTGTGAGAGCTTAGGCTGGCTGAGTTTCTGTTTGTTTGTGGTTGCTCTGAGGACAAATAAAAGAGCCACTTTGAGAGCTGCTGCCTGACATGGTTTGGCAGGTCGCGGTGACTAACACTTGTGGTGCGTGTGTGTGTGCTCAAGTTACAGGCCTGTACACAGCGTCTCACTGCACACGCAAAGAAAGAAAAGGCTGAATCACATAAGTCTGTATGTCGCTCCATGACAATAAAGTTAATGCATTGTTTTTATATAGAGGTGGCTACGGTATAAGAAACCATGACATCACTCAGCTGTAGATGAATAAGTCTGTGAGTGTATTGTTAGTATTATCACGCATTAATATCAATCAATGTCACTCATGTGTTCTTCTTAAAGATACATTTAATCAATTATTAATATTATTTCAGAGTTAACGGATAAGAGGAGTCTCCTAGTGGTCAGAAATGTACAGTTATCTTGATATATGTTTCTCAAAGTCTGGTACTTGTGCAGCTCCTCCTGGTGATACTTGAGGTCCTTTACTGTTCTAACCTTTGCTTATTTTAATATCTACTTTTTGGAGCTCCTTTGGACAACTTTTGGTTAGAATTATTGTAGCATTCAGTCTTAGTTTAGATCTGAAATCGTCCCACTTTAGACCTGATTTAGATCCGGTGATACTCAAAATGCCAAATCTTTTCTTTGATTCTACTTGAAAAGTCCATTCAATATAATGTGAACAACTGAATATGTTCTCTTGTTATAAAGTTTTGATTAGATACAAGAAAAAAAAAAAAAAAAAACATACACAAAGAAGTTACACCACCACTCTCGGCCAGTAGGTGGAGTCGCGAGCTGGTCTGGCTTCAGTGTCTATTTTTGCCTCTTAGCCCCAGGACCAATTAGGTTGTCCTATGTTTACTTGCACCAATGGAAATTTACATGCACTTTTACTGTGACCCAGGTGCAGTACCCCGAGCCTCTATAGTACTTTTCTTTCCTAATGTTTCGTAACAAGTGTTCAAAAATACTCTGCCGTGTTGGTGTCAAGTATCAGAGGCTTGCTGTATGTCTGCTTTCATTTAATGCAGTCATCCACATAACAAATATTGCGCAAGGGGAATTTCTAGGAAGTTGAGGAGAACATAGCGTTGTTTTACCGTATGGGATTTTTTTTTTTTTTTTTTTTCTGGCTGACACCAGATTTATCTAGAGCAGACAGCGCGGGGCTATGTGTGTCAGGCAGAAATGGAGTTAGCGTGAGTTGTGAATTGACAGCATGTGTAGAGCAGGGCCCGAGGAATTCCTTTCATAGCAGCGAGTCCTTAGACCGTACTGTGCGTATTTCACAACATACAAAAACAACACATTTACCTAATTTATCTGATGTACGTAAGAGCTGTTTCATGCCAGTAAGAAATCAGACTTAAGATTGGATTTGTCATCAATTTGGGTTTCCTGGATTGAGCAGTTTTCCATTCTGCCTTAGTCCATTTTAAAGATTGTGCTGAAATGAATGTATTTAGTGTCCAAATATTTAATTTAAAATGTAATGAAGTAAAGCCTTGCAAAATAAACAGAAATACAGATACAACACCTTTAAAGCAACTCTGTGCAACTTTCTGGAGATGGCACTATTCCATGGAAACAAAAAGTTAAAGCTATGGAAATATATATTTAATGCCATACTATGGAATATCATGTTTGTGAGATTTTAAAATATGGTCACTGTTGATACTTTGCAGTGACATCACGGTGGGGGTGTACTGCATGCATCTCTACTGAAGGAACGTTCAGCAGTTACCATGGTGACACAATACACAAATTTTTTGCACATAGGTAAAAAACATTTAAGACAGTCTGAAAACTCAAGGAAAGAATACTAAATGGATTTTAACAACTAATTTTCAGCAACTTGAGTAACTTCAGACTTCAGGTTCAGACAGAACAGTGCCTGTAGTTAGCATTGCACCCCCAGACAGTCAGAGGAAGGCATCAGCTGCAAATTATCGATACATAAGTTTGTAAGTAAAACCCCCAACTGAAATAAAGACAGCACAATAATGTGTATGGAGCCTCACCAAGCTTTATTTACATGCGCACCATTTCTTATACAAACTAGATTACAATTAAAAATGGAATACACAGGAAAAATACTCACTAACATCAAGTCGAGAAGAAGCAAGATTCATTATAAAGTGTAAAGTTCGAAGGGCAAAGGATGAAGTTAAAGCTGGCCTTAGGATTTTTTTTACAAGAAGTGGACAAAAGGAGGTGATTAAGGTATCTAGTGGTATATCTTGTCAGTTTTTGCTTGTTTTGCATATTTTGAAACTTTGTGAAACTGTGCCGGTATAAAGCAGTTGTGGTGTAGAAGTGTAAATTATCTCCCAACAAAGAAAAGATATTTTACACGTATTATACATGAATCAACCTGTGATTATAGTCCCTAGATTATAAAACTAAAAGAAGTTGACAGCAGACCCTCTAATATAAAAGTGATTATTCCTGTAGTAAGTACTGACAAAATATGGTTTGATTTGATAAAATAAGATCTGCTCGTTCACCCAATTCTTTGTATTGATGACTAGATTTTTGCTTGCATTTCCCTGGTTCAGTGTTTTGGTGATGCTAGCCAGTACTCAGTATAGAACATATAGCATAATACAACATGTAAAGTTAGAGAGTGGCTTTGAAATGTCTGGTGCCAAAAACTAAAAATGAGAAATTTTTATTTTCACCTTTTAACAAGTAATATTGGAGAGTGTGTTTTTTTGGTAGAAGAAAAGACAGATTTTCCTGAAAACTTAAAGGGACGGCACCATGGCAATTTTTCGTCATGCACTAAACCTCATAACGCACGGTAGCTATTCATCCCTCGCCAACCATGCACTCCTCTGTAAGCCTGGTTTCAAAGTACTATTCACACATCTGTACACTATTATACACAACAAGGGCGGACCCTCTGTGGCACGAGGGTCTCCAGATGCTACAACATTGGTGTTTTTTTTCCCACCATTTTTTTTCACAAGGCTGGTAGTAACAGTGTTCCCTCCTACAATACAGGTGTAACATAACTCTTCACCTATCCCTTCAGAGGTATTACAAAACTCAAAAACGGGTCTCAAGTACAATACAGATTTACATGGACGAAACAGCAAGCGAGTATATGCATTTTTACACAAATCATAATGTATAAATACATACATGCATACAGGCTAACGTGCTGTATGCGTCGTGGAGGGAAATAGACGGGTTATTCGAAGAAGATAGACAAAATATAGGAAGGAGGAGAAACCAAAGTCACAAAATAAAACTTGATGCTCCTCTCTCTTCGTCATGTTCACAGGTTACAAGTTCACAACACACAGCATTTGTCTGTTTCAAAGACCACAAGATTTGCTTCAACCCCCCTGAGTTTTTATAATGCATAACAGGCCCCACAAGATGTAAAAACAGCAGAGCTTAACACAGATCCCTGGTACGTGTTTTCATATGTCAGTGTGTATGTGTGTTTGTATATAAAAGTGCATTTGATTTCCTTGTGACTTTGCTTGCATTTTATTTTGGATTGGAAAATCTCTCCACAAAAAACCCATCACCTTAGGATGACATCATAAGTTTGCACCTTAAAGGAAGTGAACAAGGAAAGGAACGCAGATTTTGGGATTATGTCTCAGTTCTGTTTACTTGAACTCATGTAAATCCTGCCCACTGCCTTTGTCCTCAGTGGTGATGATTGACAGCTCAGAATCGAGGAACTTTCGAGGCTTTGAGAAAACAAGTGAGCCTTGAACTTAAGATTTGATGCTAAAAGTATACTTTAATTTATTGATACAACATACTTATCACTATCTCAACATGAAAAATAAACTCTTATTTGAGTGCAGTTAGTCTTTAATCTCTCCTAACAATCCAGTTGTATTTCAGACTTTCTTCTCCAAAAATGTATGATGTAAAAAAAAACAAAAACAACAACTTATTGACTTATTACATCATAAAAAGTTGACAGTTTTCCATGCAACAACTTGGTAGATTGATAGTAACACAAGGAAATCAAGTCAAACAGTGTGCATGTGTGTATATGTGATTTGGCTGCCAGCAGATCCTACTGTTAATTTTCAAGTAATTTGGCAATATACAGAGACATAGTAGTAGCTTATTGACATATTATGAACTTGAGAAAAATGGCTTCTTAAGGAATGAGCCTAAAAATCCATGTGCCCTTTGACCTTTGCATCTGGCTGCTGCAGCGGTCATGGCTGGACTGAAAATAAACTGATTTCAAATGGTTTATGCTTTAGGACAGGAGTCAACACTGTTTACATAGTAGCACCTGTTGTGGAAATGTTCACAAACCCAAAGAACAGCTATTTATTTTGGCTACATCATATGCTGTAATCATAAATCTCATAAAACAAAGATAGTTTTTCCTTCCTGATTTGCTCTGTACAAATATGCATTTATATAACTCCAGTATTTTGGACAATTTTACAGTTATTTTCCCCTAACAAATAAAAAAAGATGTTTAAGCAAATTTAAGTATACTCTTAGGATGCAGCAGTATATAAGCGCTAAATTTGAAGTGCATTTTACATCCTAATGCTGTTACCACCACTCTTATGTATATAGATTGTTATGTGCATTAAACAAAATAGCTCCACTGCCATCTTTTCTTTTCACCAATAATTTTTTTTTTTCATTTTGTACAGATAGGTATGATGCCAAATAATGATAAAACAGAAAACGTTTATCAAACAAAACACTGCACATTTAAAATCACAAGGATAAAAACACAGGGAGAGTCTTCTTTTGTCCAACACAACACTTCTCCATTTTAAACTTGAATCTTCATTGGGAACAACTGTAAGGTCTCTCCTCTTCACTTCAATCCACCTGAAACGCCTTGGATTACAACAGAACAGGACTGAGAAATTGCATAACTCTGTCATTGTCAGTTTGTTTCTAAGTGTAGTTTCACAGGAGGTTTGGAGGCTGATCTTCAGCATTGAGTGTCTGTAAACAGGCTTATTTTGTTTGTGCTGATGGCAGGTTTGGCAAAAAGGGTGTAGGTAATGATCGTCCATACAGTTCAGACCTGCAAAAAATTGGAAATAATTGTGAAGAGCAAAATCAATGTTAATGTGTTCATTCTTTCAAATGTGTTCTGATCTTTTACCTGCTGTGCTTGGTGCCTGACCCTTGCTCAGCCAGGGACCCAGCTCTGGGATGTCTGCTTGTTGCTGGTGAAGTTGACCAAAGAGTCAAAGTTAAAGTCCAGTCCGTCTGCGTCCATCAGCTCGCTCCTGATGATAGAGTCCATATCACACTCTAAAGTCCCATTGAACATGTCCAGGTCCAGGTCAGTGGGGAAGCGGTCCTGGTTCAGAGGGGCTCCGTTAGTAACTGTCCCATTCATGAAAATGGAGGTGTCGATTTGCATGGAGGATGAGCCATTGCCCCCTAGAGGAGAGTTCAGGAGCTGCTTGGCATTAGCCAGCATGTTAGCTTCATTGTTCAGAGTCAGACCATTTACAGGCCGGAGTGCGTTCTGGTTGTTACTGTGCCCCTGGACGTTGTGAACCCCAGTGGTGCCAAAGGTCATGACGGGGTCGTTGCGGAGGATAAGGCCACGGCGGGACATTACAGCTGCAGCACCAGCCTGGGACATGAGTGGGTCGGACTGAGTCATCATCACATCACTGTGGTTATGGCTGTCCGAGTTGAGCAGGTCCTGCAATGTTTGGCTGCCAAAATGAGAGGTGATGGAGAAGGACGTTTGCTTGTTCTCCTGGATGGTCTGCATGGGAGAGGGACGCAGAGTGGACCCTGTGGAGGGCGGGCCAAAGATGGAGTTACTGAAACCATTGCTGCCATTAGTAGATGGGTTAGGAGCAGGCGAAGTGGTGGAGGAAGAGACGAGTCCATTTGGTTTAGAGCCAAAGCTGAAGCCTGAGGATCCATTTGGGGGCTGTCCTGTAGTGCTTGGCACCATGTTGATGTTTTCCAATAGCTCATTCATTATGTCATCTGTGAGTCCATCGTTCAAATTCATGGTACCTGCTAGATCTGCGAGCCGGGGCAACTCTGTTGGAGCTGGTTTCCCATTGGCTGTGCTGTTTCCAGGCGACAACGTCCTGCCAGGACTGTAGAGCATAGGCGACAGAGGGGGCTCGTCGTCTGGGACCTGGTCCAGCTCGGGGTTGGCCAGTATGGGCGTCAGGCGGCCGCTGATGGTGCTGGCGTTGGAGTTTGTGCGGGAGCGAAAGTCAGTCCAGGTGTCCAGCTCCTCTGTGCTGCGTGACGTAGGACTTCCGGGCCAACGGGACAGGCCTGAGGGACTGTCTCCGCCCTCTCCCGCTGCAGCCGCGGCCTGGAGGGCAGCCTTCTTCTTAGCGGCGCGGCCACGAGCTGACTTGGTGTATTTGTTGCTGTTGTCCATAGACACGGCTCGGCGGCGTGGAGCCTTGCCTCCTTTCCCTCCCTCAGGGTTGATCATCCACCAGGAGCTCTTGCCTGTGCCTTCATTCTGCACCCGGATGAAGCGGCTGTGCAGAGACAGGTTGTGCCGGATGGAGTTCTGAAACACAAAAAGGAGAAAGAAATGAGACTTAGAGCTGTCCATTTACACTGGTCTGTCTTTTTCACTATTGATAGAGCAGTCCTCTGGAAACACTATTTAGATCCATACATCACTAATGGTGATGCTGAATATTGATCTGGTTGGCAAGACAAAACACAAAATAACCAATTATTTCAATTGTTCCAACAGTAAATATAGACAAACAAATAAGCCAACAACAGCTTTAAGCTCTGATATGTGCATTGTTACCTGCATCACTTTGTGCTGTGGATATAAAGGAGAGGACTTGTGCTATAATCAAGCATCTTCTATATTGAAAAGCTTGTACGATTTTGTGTTGCATAACAAAACAGAGTAGACCGTGTGTGTCTGTGCCGTGTGAGTCATCTGTGTATCGATCACTCTCTCTCTCCTGGTGCAGAGGGGAGAGTGAGGACTAGACCAGAGCTCTGCTAATGACTGTTTTTACGCACATACTAGTATTGTAGGTGTACTGCGAACTAGTGTGGGGTCAGGGAGGAACACAGTGACCATGAGGTACCTTGGCTTTGGTTCTGTTGCTAGAAATAACATGAACAGACCCTTTAGAAAATTTGTTGCTTGTTTAAAACATGTAACCTACACAGTTTAGACCCAAAATTAAAGTCTTCTAAACAGTCAAATTGAAGGACCTAACAACTTATCTTTATTGCTTTTACCCAAATCACTCCTCAATTCCTCCATTAAACTTTAGATGGTATAGTTAATTTAATTTGTTTTTCCACTGCGCTCTGTCTTCCTCCCTTTGTGTTGTTTCACAAACATGTAGCTCTTATGTGCCCTGAGGGACTCCAGGCCTATGTTATGTCTTCTCATATAAACAAGCTAACCGCCCTCCACAACAAGCACACACATCCCCTGCTGCTGATTTTCTCTCTCTATGTATATTTGAACTCACTAAAACAGAACACATTTCTGGGGCCGAGAGGACGAGCGCCAACATTTTTGGTGGGAATCACAATATTGTTTTCCAAGAAATGGGGCCCCATCTTTTACAGTTTACAGGCAATTTGGTATAGCTTGTTTTTCATGGTCAAAAGCAGCACAGTCAGAAGGCTAAAATTACTTGATTGTAAGGGGTCAAGGACATTTTGGCGCACACAGGAGGAATGCCACTTGCTGCAGGGATGCTCGCTAACCATTACTTTGCATTAGCCATAAACAAAAAAGCCTTTACTTATGAATGGGCGTGTGCATGTGCATTTCCCAAGGTGAGTGACCGGGAAGGAGTGAGGTAAGATGAGAATGGGATACCACGGAGACCAATGTTTACCATTAGCTAGCTAGCATCTCTAAAGACATGATGTAATGCTAAAACACTCAAACACACATACGGTAATTCTTTCCAGCTGCCAGGAAATGTAAACAGGACTTGGCATCAGGTTGTTCAGTAACAGGCAGGTGTTGGCACAGAATAGTAGGTATGCAGGTCTTTTACTGCAAATTGTTTCTCAAGAACTCCTTTAATTAAATATATAATTATTCAGTCACATGGCAGGAAGCTGATTTGGTTGTGAGCATAGTGGGTATAAAGAATTGAACTAAGTGAGTGTGATGTCACCCATAGCGTTCAGCTCCAGTCAAATGATACTCACTGAGGCCTGCAGTTATGGGGCGAATTTGGAGCCAAGTTCCATATAAGGAATAGGAATTTATTTGCAGACAAAATAGCAGAATACAAACACCAGGATCATGTAGAGAGGGTTAATACAAACATTTTAAGACCAAGCAGTTATGGAGAGGAACGTGGTGGCTACGGGGCTAGTTATGTCCATTTATATATAAAGTCTATGGTTGTGAGAAATGTCACGATAAACTCACATGAAGCACCACAACTGAGAAGAAAAATCTTTGAAAATGGCACATGGTAATGACCAGTTGGAGTATGAGAAAATGCTAGCTGGATTTTAAGCAGTAAACAAAAGTGGATGAAAAGCTTCCATATCAAACCATAAATCACCTGCATTTGTCTTGTGTTATTATTTGCCCTATGGATGACTGTATACAGATGGTACATTATTTGTTATGCTTACTATGAACTGCAGCTGCTCCTCTGAGGTTTTCACATGCCCATTAATAAAACAGCACAGCTCAAAGAGGCCAGTGCTCTGATTCATAACTCTGGATTTACAGCTACACTTAATAAAAAGCACTACTCCGTAGCCAACAGCACAAACAGCCATGTTGAGACAGTAGTGAGAAATTGGAGCAGATTAATGTTTTCATTAACGTTTTGTACCTGTTTATAAGAGTTTAATGAGTGTTTATTCTATTTACAAGTAAGTGTAAGAAGTCATTAGTTGATATTCAAAAATATCGCTGAGGCAAGACACTTGGAAAATGTAGGCTTACTAAAAAGCAGACACCTACATTCTTCAAATAACTAAGTGCTATTAACTTGTATTTATTACACTTATGATGAAATATTAGTGTAATTAAAGTAACTCTTGAAATGTGTGTCTTCTACCACTCATATAAAGCTTTTTAATCCCCAAAAGAGACCAAAATCAGATCATATACAAACCAAACATACAAGGAACATGTCTGAACATATCCCAGGAATCAATAGAATACAATTTATGATATTTATAATAAAAATATATGATTTCTGGTTTCTGGATTTAGTCGATTAACTAATTACTAACTAACTAATTTGAATCATCACTTTCATCAAGTAAAACTAGAGTTGAACACAAAGACCAAACTAAAACTAAATAAAAATGCAATGTCAAAATAATACTAACTGTACCTAAGTGAAAGTAGGTTATACAAGTCCAAGTGCTAAACTGAGTGCTTTGGTTTCCAGGTTCACTTGTGTTACATTTTTGGACCAAGCGAAGAGCCTTATGGGCAAAGTTCATGGGAGAGGCCCCAGCTGTGTTGTATGTGCATGCATTGGCCAGCTGCAGCCAACGCTCTCAACAACAGAGGCTCTATGTCCATCACCAACATGTGGGAACAATTCATCAATGTCAGTAAGTATGTGGTTAGCATCTACACTTATTCTTCTGCCCCGAATTATGACACTTTATTTCTACTAGGGCTGCACAGTATATATTGCAATTAAATCAACAGTTTGAGCTGACGCAGTTATCAAGTCACAAACTCTGCAATTATTTAGATGAACAACTGAACAAAGAACAAAATATCCTGTGCTTTTTAGAAAAACTATTGTTGTACCTTTAGTTTAAAAGTGTGGGATTATCATACCAGTTTTGCAGTTCATATTTTCTTCTCTTTAATGTTTATGTTTTTGGAGTTGTTTACCTTGTGTACTCTGAACAGAACCTACTTTTAAAACATATATTACAAATATAACTGTCATCGCAATACTCAGAATGATCACAATTAGTATTTTCCCCAACTCTAATTTCTGGAGTCTACAGAGGACAAGACGAGTACTATGTAAAATGACATTTTGAAGGGAGGCAACCCAAAAAGCATACAGAACATATAGCGCCCCTCCCTAGCCAGAGGTCATTTTCAAAATCCATTCGGTCACTGGTCAAAATGTTTAAGTCGGCGCGCTCTGATTGGACAGAGCGGAGGTAAGCCGTGTTCTGATTGGTTGACTTGAAGAGGTAGCCAGGCAGTGCAGAGGCAGCCTAGCATTGCAAGTGTATTTCATCACCCAGATACAACACAACGTCACTCTGGCTTGATTGGTCTGAATAATGTGAAGCAGACTTGCTCTTGCCTCCCCATGAGCAGCCACTGATTTAGGAAGACAACACCAGGTCAAAGGTCAAAGTGCTTTAAGGGTCAGACACTTTTTAGCCCCGCCCACGACACACATCTGGGGTGGCTCTGATTGGATGGGCAGAACCTCACACCTATAGCAGTTTTGAGAGACTCTTTGCCAAACATAACCAGGTGTTATCAGGCGTTATGTAAAGCAGGACTAATCTGAGGTGAGTGTCAACATTGAGGATGGTAGGGTCACACAGTCCTGTCCTGAATGGTGTAATGTTCTCTTTTTACAAAAATAGAAACAAAAACATGTTTACTAGGGACCAAAAAGTGTGTTTGAGTGTTTGAATAATTTTGTTACTTTTACAAAAGTATCGAAAAGAGCAAATCAAAAATGGAAATTATGTAATACTGACACAATTTCCCATAATCCACAATTGCAGTTTGGCATATAGGTGTCAGTAATAGAAATTCCTGGCAATGATCTGAGTAGTCTTAGTAGAACACGAAGAATCATACCAGAAGTTAATAAGATCATGACACTATTGCAATAGTAATAACCTTTAGCCAAAATAATAGCACAGATAGTAATACCACTAGTACTTAGAAGCAGTAGACAGTACTTGTTTTCATTGTACTTGCTGTTTTTGTAATATAGAAGACATATGTTTTTAAGTGATTTTTAAAATAATTTTTGTGTGTTTAGTGTTTAACTATAATGTCAGTAGATCATCATTCTACATTTTGATCATTAACAAGTGATACAGGTCAATTTAAGTCCTGTCCTGTTTAAAACTGCAAAACTGACAGGCCTGTATCTTCATGATTAGATTTTCCTGTTGCAAGAAGTAGATTTTCAGTGTTTTTATTGCTGAAAAATTGTTATGTGACATTTCCAATCCCTATAAGTATGAGCCAGAACCAGAATTTTTGGAATAATTGTAAGTAAGTCCAAAGAAGTGGGCGTAGAGAGGGGGTAAGTGAAATGTTTTTAGCGCTCCAGCCTTGAATACAAGACAAAGTAGGATTTCAATTTATTAATTTTTGAGTAAGCAAATGATGAGAGAATAGGGTTATAACATGGGTAAAAGTTCATAAAAGTTAGAGTTTTTAATATTCACCTCTAAGCCTGAATATAACCATCACCATATATCGAAACAGCCAAACCGAACCAGCACTGCTCTATACTTATCTCACTCTAATTTCATTTAGTGGTTACTCCATTTACACTAGAGGTGACCAGTGCATGTTTAGTTAAGTCGCGGTGT